TCGTCTGACAGGTGCATCACTCGGTCTTCTATGCACATGACCAAACCACCGTAGGCATGACTCCCGCATCTTATCTTCAATAGGTGCTACTCCCACCCTTTGTCTAATTGTCTCATTCCTCACGCGGTCCTTTCTAGTATGCCCACACATCCAACGCAGCATGCGCATCTCTGCCACACTCATCTTTTGAATGTGACATTGTTTTACCGCCCAACGTAACACTCCGTGCCATACAGTAATGCCGGCCTAATTGATGTCCTATAAAATTTACCCTTCAGTCTAGTCGGCATACCTCGATCGCATAGATAACAAAACAAAAGTGTTTGACAAAAAAATCAAATTTGCAAATGAATTTGGGACAGAGGTAGTATTTTATATCTTTTAATCTTTGAGCAAGACTATAAGTCCTTTTCGGGAAGAAAACATACCTAATCTTATTTTAGAATTTGCCTAAATTTTTCTCTATGTTGATTATTTTTGTTTGTTTAAAGTAGTGTATTCGTAGCTAAGTTTGAATTCGAACATAATTTTCATCAACTATGACATTTAGATGCCAAATGTGTCATTTCTATTGTTATAATGGAAAAAAAACTAAAAACAGACGTATCACTACATGAAAGACTATTGTGGCCTGCCTGGCAAAGAGACGTGACTTTTTGACAAAAAGGAATTATAGTTTTTTAGAAGAACGCACACAAACACTACAATCTCCTTTTCCATTTAGATGAGATGTTAATCATATTGTGTCATTGTCGTCGTTAAAATGGATTATAAATGTAGGGGCTCAATGTAGGAGATATTCTAGCACTCATCAATGGAATTCTATCAATTAGCATTACACAGAAAAAACTCATTATAGACACTAATACAATTAGATGTGCTCTTCATAGACAAACTTACTCGATAACTCCAATTATCCGATTCTTTATTTAATTGAACCTTATAAGAAAATTTAGCCGGAAAATCTCATGTATTAACTTGAATTACATATGCAATTTTAGTTGCGTATTCAAATTTCTTTTTCATGTATTGTTATGGATTATTTTTGAACTACATTGTATACACATAGAGTAAGTCCTAATATAGAGTTGAAGGAACATGCACTCTTATGTGAATCAACTAGGGACTCTTTGAAAGCACATACCCAAAGCAAAAAATATACATTAGTTGAAGGAAAAGTGAACATGATGCACTAATAATCACACATTTATTACCTTTAATTTGGTGGTGATACATTCATCGTGTTGTTAAACTTTTGTTATTATAGATTTAACAAGTATAATGGTTTATAATTGTCATCACATTAGGAACAATAAAAAATGCTTGGTTGCGACAGTGAAGGAATTGAAGAAGCTATTGACATAACAATTTTACTTGAAATACAAGGCTACATTAATGTGTTAAACTTGCAAAAAATTAATTTAACAAGCGTAAAAGCACAATAGTAATCAATTTAAAATATTGTTAAATTAAGTGTCACACTTATTGTGTCAAGTTCTAAGAAGACTCTAATTTTTTTCTCCAAGCTCGTGTCTAACTGTCAATACTTATATCCACCTTGACATTTCAAAATGTCTTGAGGTGCATCACAATCAAAATTCCCCGTTTTTCACCTCCACTTGAATCGCCATCACTCTCAACTTCATCTACTTTTCATTCGTTTACCCATAACCGGTAGACATAGTGTAATCCTCTTCTACTTCTCTAACAACTTTATCTATAAGATTATTAATTTTTACACACTATGACAGTAGGAACCCTAATTCGACACGGAGTTCCAATCCATACAAACAATAACGCTTAATTGTTATATAAATAAATCAAAATATTAAAATAAATGAATTCAGAAATGATACTAAGTTGTGCCTTAAGTGATAGGAAACTTATAGTCTTATACTTGGAAGTAAACAACCATTTATAGTAAAAACATATGCTCTATTCATCCGGAGACTATAGAGTAGTTAACTTTGAGTATAACTCTCCATTTCATCTTATGAAATAAGAATATATATGAGATTTACTCTCTTCGAACAATTGATTTGAATGAAAATGTCAATGTTTTGTCTTAATGATTTGTACTCTTCTCACCCAATGCCGAATACTTTTCATTTGATTTATACACAACACCTTTCATAATGAAAAGAGTGACATCACATCATTCACATGCCGAAGTTGCTAATCATTACTCATGTAATAATTATTTTAGTGTGAATTATGTTTTATTTTTAAATTTGAAAAAGAAATTATCTCATAAAGAAACCTGATCAACACAAAATAAAGATGACACAGTATTATGATTTACAAGTTCAAGAAGCTTGGAAATCAAACGCAAACAAATGCACCACAGAGTACACATAGCAATTTCTAGAAAAAAGATTATTTTGGACACATAAATATCAAATTTCAAATTTAGAAAAAAAATAACTAGAATCTTTAATAAACAAGTTTGCTACTTGTTGTTCAAACAGAGTAATCTAGGTCAATGGTCTTCACATTCGTCTCAGTACAAGGTATCAGTTTTGTGTCGTAAAAAAAGTTAGACTTAGAAGAGTTAAAGCAATGCTAAGTTATCTTTGGTTATGACTTAGCAATCTTACAACATGTTGTAGGGGAGTAGATTTGGACCTAAATATCATTTTTATAACTTTTTGGTTGTAAAACACAATGCAAGGGTGTATATCTTCCCACTCATATACTAAAAGTACACATTCTTTTCCTTAATATATTAAACATAATGCTTCACATGAATTGAGAGATACACATGAATGTACACATTTGAAGATTTTACATAGATATTTTTTGTATTGAGTTAGACAACAGATAAACATTAGTCTAAAACAGATAGATGAATATGCAAAGTAACAAATTCTACTTATTTGTGTGAGTAATTTATAAGTTTGTAAGATGAGCATTTTAATACCAAATAAACCATCATTTTAATACTAACTAACACCAAAAGGTCAGAACGTTATGAAAGAAATCGCCGTCCGAATGCCTGCACTTGAGATGTTATAGAGTGAAACTTTTTGATGAAGTTTTGGGAGTATGTTCTCTACAACAACAACAACATCCGAGACTTAATCCCAAAAAATTATGGGGGTGGCTAACATGAATCAATCTATGATATCGAGGCCAAAAAGAGAAGACAAACAAGAAAAAGAAGAAGATAAAACGAATAAGATAAAGATAAATAAATATAAGATAACAATAACTTAAGAATATAAGAAAGATAAAAGATAAAAAGGTAAAAGAGCACAGCAAAGCTAGAAGATAAAAATAACATAAGAACATAAAAAGATAAAGAAGATACACGATAAAAGAAAAAGAGAGAGGAAAGATAAAAAAAGAGTTCAATCGTCCACACGAATGTGCGCCCTCCACTTTGCCCTCTCCAAAGCCATACTCTCATAAAACTCAAGAGGACGCGTATGAGTTCTGATTCTTCTAATCCAAGCTTGTTTGGGTCTTCACCTCCCTCTCCTATTTGTCTCTTCTCTCCACCCCTCAAGTCGTCTAATAGGTGCATCCCTCAATCTTCTACGCACATGCCCGAACCACCACAAATGAGACTCCTGCATCTTATCTTCTATAGGTGCTACTCCCACCTTTTGTCTGATTATCTCATTCCTCAAACGGTCTTTTCTGGCATGTGCACACATCCAATGCAACATACGCATGTCACAATCATCTTTTGAATGCGACATTGTTTCTCTGCCCAACACTCTACGCCATACATTAATGCAGGCCTAATTGTTGCTCGATAAAATTTACCTTTCAGTCTAGTCGACATACCTCGATCGCATAGAAATCCTCATGCACTCTTCCATTTCATCCACCAGCTCTGATTCTATGGGATACATTTCCATCTAATTCACCATCCTTCTGAATTATGGAGCCCAAGTAACGAAACATATCACACACCGGTAGCTCCTTACCATCAAAAGTAATCTCACTGTTGCTACTACTTCTACCTCCACCAAACTTGCACTCTATACATTCGGTCTTGCTTCGGCTCAGTCTGAAACCCTTGGTCTCCAATGTTTGTCGCCATACTTCCAACTTTGTTTTAACACCCAATTGTGTCTCATCAATCAATTGAGAGTATGTTATCTATGAAATGTAAATTATGTTTACAAAGTTCCAACTTAAAATTTAATTGGGAAGTTAGTTAAACTAATTATCCAAAAACACTGCATTTTTACTCATATTTTGGCGCAATGTTTTTGAATAATTTATTTATCTGATTTTTCGATTGAATTTTAAGTTGAAATTTTGTGTACATAATCGACACTTCATGAATAATATGCTTAAAAAAATCATAACACAAACTACTGCTACATTTCAAAATTATCTTCATTCTTCCTCTTTTGTCAATCCTAATATAAATTCATAATTTTCTTTTGGAGAAGAATTATTATTTTAAAGCACACAATTTTCCATCACATAATTTCAAGTCACCCATTTTTCATTTTCTTAATCCACCTTCAAATCATTTTTTAGTAAGGCGTATATCTAAACGAGTAAAAGGTCAATTTGGTCCTTGAAGTTGCAAAAAAGGTGTCAAATAAGTCCTTATATGGAAGATTCTGTCCGGACGTGCCATTTGAGGTGGTTCCTAGTGGAATTTTTTGATAATTTTTTTTGAGAATCTTATTCTTTAAGTCTAGTTTACTCATACCAAATTTCAGTAAAAAATTCAAACGGGAAGACATTCAAATGAATTCTTGAAGATAATTGCGCTTTTAACGGCACAATTATCTTCAAGAATTCATTTGAATGTCTTCCCGATTGAACTTATATCTTAAATTTGATATGAGTAAACTAGACTTAATGAATAAGATGATCAAAAAATTTCATCAAAAAATTCCACCGGGAGCCATCTCAAATGACACTTCCAGACAAAATCTTCTATATAAGAACTTATTTGACTCCTTTTTTGCAACTTCGAGGACCAAACTGACTCTTATCCCATATCTAAACCTCCAAATGCCCCAATGCAAATAGAGTGCAAGGACTCTTGCATCCCTACCGTTACTCACTTTCACACCATCGATAGAAAGAGCCTTAATTAGCGGACGAGGGCCGATGACTGGATGAGGGTTTACACCACAGGAAGCGACAGTTGCCTACGTTTTGCTTTGGCTTTACCGGCTAGCAGAGCCTTCAATTTCCTCAGCTTCATCAGAGCGCCGCCGCCGCCATCTTTCCATTTCCACTACACTGCGTACGCTGCAGTGCCACCGCTTAACTGTTCTCTCCGGCAACGCCGTTTTTCTTCCTTGGCATCGACCTCTATCCAATCCATGGGCTCTCAACAGCAGCAGGAGCTGGAGTGGCCCGCGAACAAGGTCCGGGACACTTTCATCAAGTTCTTCGAAAGCAAGAATCACACCAGCGTCAAGTCCAGCCCTGTCGTTCCCCACAATGATCCTACCCTCCTCTTCGCTAATGCTGGTCACATTTTCAACTCACTGCAAAATACCCATTCATTTCAATGCTATGCCGAAGCGTGTTCTCTATACCTTAAATTTAGTTCAATTAAATAGCACTAAACATTTATGGTGCAAGAATGTGCATTTTTTTGTATACCAAGCAGAAAATGTCTCATATTCCTTTGAAAATTCGCACCAGCGTCATGGATGCAACAGATTTGTGATTTAATTAAATTATATGCTGAAGAGTGTTTCACAGAAAATCTTCCTTGAAATTGCAGGTATGAATCAGTTTAAGCCAATCTTCTTAGGAACAGCTGATCCAAATACTGAATTGGGAAAACTGAAGCGTGCTTGTGACACACAGAAGTGCATCAGAGCTGGTGGAAAGCACAATGACCTCGATGATGTTGGAAAGGACACTTATCACCACACATTCTTTGAGATGCTTGGAAATTGGTCATTTGGTGATTATTTCAAAACAGAAGCAATTCAATGGGCCTGGGAACTTCTCACAGAGGTAAGTTAACATTTCACCTTTCACTGTATGCATAAGATCTGCTGACACATTTGATCTTTTCTGCTTTTATTAATTTTGGTTATACGCCAGTGTGTTTTTCTGCATCTTTGATTCCTAAACTTTAAAAAGAAAGGTGCTTTTGATTTTGACTGTTTTCTTCTTTGGTTATTCAGGTATATAAGCTACCTGCTGTTCGGATTTATGCTACTTATTTCGGCGGCGATGAGAAAAGTGGCCTTCCAGCTGATACTGAAGCAAGAGATATATGGCTTAAATTCCTCCCACCTGAACGTGTTCTGCCCTTTGGTAGCAAAGTATGTATCCTTCCCACATTTTGAATGTTTCCAATTCTATGAAATGACAGTTACCTTATTTCTAATTTTGTATTATGCCACATGCTTCCAATCAATATTTTCCTTCACTTTGATTCTCAACAATTTAAATGTGCATGCAATTACTATTATACTGAAATTTATGAAGATTATTTGGAGTATTTGCCCGTTTTCATCTGTCAGCAAAAGAAGTTTTGAATATTTGGAGGATAAAGGGGTCTATAATTAAGATTCAAGATGTGATTTCATTCCATACAATTCTGAACCAAGAGAATTTAATTCTTTAAACAACAACCCAAGCCTTAGTCCCAAAAGAGTGTGGGGTCTGCTAACATGAATCGACATACGAGATTGGAGCTAAAAAGGTAAAAGATATAAAAAGATAAATAAATAAGTTAAGATAAAAAGAAAGAAATGATAAAAAATATAAAAAGACGGGATAAAGATTAATGTCATGTCATGTGACTAGGTGATATTGTTGGCCGTCACGTGCCTACCATAGCACCCTCCTCCTTTATCCTGGTTTGGGAGAGGCATGATTCCAAACAATAATCTCATGGCGGAGTTAAGATGATAGGGTAAAGATAAAAAAGATAAGATAAAAAGGATAATATAAAAAATGATCAAGAACTAGGAGTTTGGAACATAGTGCTTTATTGAGATTTGAAAATAATTGATCACATTTACACGGACAAGATTTCTGTCCCTTTTTGAACTTGTTTGGTTTGCATATTAAACTGAAGAAAATCAACTTTTGTTCATCTTTGTTTTTTGAGTAGGATAACTTCTGGGAGATGGGAGACACCGGACCATGTGGACCCTGTACTGAAATACATTTTGACAGAATAGGGAACCGCGATGTTGCATCATTAGTTAATAATGATGACCCCACGGTTATTGAGATATGGAACCTCGTGTTTATTCAGGTACCGGCTCCTCAAAGTTGCATGAATTGACCTTCGGGAAGTTGCTATTTTTATTATATAAAATACATGTGTCTACAGTTCAACAGAGAAAGTGATGGCTCGCTAAAACCACTTCCTGCCAGACACGTTGACACGGGAATGGGTTTTGAAAGGCTAACTTCTATACTCCAGAACAAGATGAGCAATTATGATACTGATGTTTTTATGCCAATATTTGATGCTATACAAAAGGTAAATACTTAATAGAGAAAGCTGCTTATTTCAAAATGCATTGTTGCTTAATAATATTGCATCTTTGAAACTAGGATGAGTAACACATATTTTGTGACCTTAGTTTCAAAAGTTGTGAAATGCGCTTAGGAACTTGGAAATCCGAAACAGAACTGAGGCACACCTCTTTGCTAAAACATATCTATATTATTTGTGCTCTATTACTAGTATTACATCGCTAATGGTGGATAAAACCAACCAAATTTGATGCCAAAATATATAGTTGTCAACCTGAAAGTCACAATATTAACAAGTTCAAACTTCAAAGCTCATAGCAGAATAGGCAGCTAGGAGCAAAAAAATCACGGACACTGCACAAAATATTAATTCTTCCGCAAAAAAAAACAGTGCATCAGTTTAGGAATAAAGAGAAAGCCACGGGTCTGGTAAATTGCTTAGATAACAAAGGAACTGGCCACTGGGGAAGCAGAAGAAAACAGACACACATAAAATGAGAGAGAGGGACACAATTGAACTGTGGGAAAGAATCAATAGAAAAGAGGAAGAAGAAGAAAGAGAACTAATCTTGGTCACCTGCAGTGTGATGGGAGATATCTTCAATTCTTTTTTCTGACTTCTGTCGGCGGTTCAATTTTGGATTCAAAGAAACAAGAGAAAGATCTAGGATTCCCAGAGCCTGCAGAGGCTCACTAATGGAAGACTTACTGATCATCTCTATGCTATAAACTGTGTATTGTACATACATATTATGTACAGTATACAAAAATACTTTTTCTTAGGGAATTATCTCTCGGTCTCATAAAAAATTCAATGTATATCTTTCTCTATCTGTTTAACCTTTTCTTGTGAAAGGAAAATATACTCCTTTTCCAACCTTAAATGTTTGGAAAGGCTATTCAACAAATACACACTTAATAAGCTAGCAAAACAACTAAACAAGTGTATGATATACAGAGCGAGCATACTCCCTCCACCCCATACAAACTTCAATGTTTCCCTTTTTGGATGCCTCAAGATGAACTTCATTTAATCTGTTTAACATTTTCTTGTGAAATGACAATATTCTACTTGCCTTTCTTGCCTTAAACGGCGTGTCAGGGATTAAAAGGTAAGTCTAGAAAAGAAATAGTATATACACTTAATAAACATGCCTAACCCCAGTGTGAAGTTAATTATGGAATGCAGGGAGCCTGGGAGTATTAATTTCTAAAACAATTTCTTTTAATCGTTTTTTGTAGATATCTGGTGCTCGACCATACACTGGCAAAGTTGGTTCTGATGATGTTGACAAAATTGACATGGCTTATCGGGTTGTTGCGGATCATATTAGAACTCTTTCCTTTGCTATTGCTGATGGTTCTTGTCCAGGTAGAGTGCTGTTGGATGTGGGTGGCGTGTTTACGCGCATAAATGGTTCAACTTCAATATTTGACTTCTTATGAATCTAAAGTTTCTCACAACGAGGGGGTTGATTATAAAAAGCGGAGATGCCTAATTTGTTTTACATGCTTGCTGTGATTTATGACTGTATCTATCTTATGTGCTTTGTTGCTTGTACTTGTAAATTTTATTATGAGGCTGATGATTTCCTATGCTATTGCTTTCAAACTTTAACTATCTCTATTCAATTTTGAATAAAGTCAATATAGCTATGAACTTTTGTAGGCTGTTAATACCTTAGTACAGTTACAGTGCCACAAAAGAAAAATCATTTTTGTATTTACATAGCTCTGATCCTTTTTCTCTAGCGGGTTTCTTTTTATAACTATTTTAAATGCAGGCAATGAGGGCCGTGAGTATGTACTACGGCGCATTCTCCGTCGAGCAGTGCGCTATGGTACTGAAGTCCTTCAAGCACAACAGGGATTTTTCAGCGGGTAGGAATGAAAAAAATTGAATGGCATTAGTTATGTGATGAGATTCAGTTATTCATACTCTTGTAGTCTTATTCCACTTTCATTTCCCTGATTATTGATACAATACCTACTTCTAGCCGCTCCAACCTCCATATCTGATGTTTGGTTTACAATATTGTCTAATGACTATTGTTCTAAACACAGCCTGGTAAAGGTGGTGACTGAAGTTATGGGGGATGTTTTCCCTGAGCTGAAACAACATGAAGCTCACATAATGGATATAATTGCTGATGAAGAAACCAGCTTTGGCAGGACACTACTTCATGTGAGCTACTACTTGTCTTCCAAAGTTCAGATAAAGGGAAATAACACTGATTTAACAATTATGCTTGTGAATCACTTAATCCACTCATTAACATTTGGTGCTGTTTCATGCATCTGTAGCAATACTTTTTCCGATATTCATACACCAGTCATTGAAGATGCGTTTGCGTTGCAATCTTCGTGGTCAATGAGTGTCCAGTTTTAATGATTATTACTATTAATCAACACAACTCGTACTGAACTAAAAATCTGTTCAAGAATAGTCAATCTGTCTATCTCTCTTCTCTAATATTGGGCAGACCAGCATGTATATTAAAGTATCTGACTGGGAGTCAATAGCAGGCAAATTCTGCCAAATCCTTTTGGCTTGCAGCTTGCTCGTTTTTTGTCACCTGGTAGTGGGGATTTCCCAATGCCCACACAAGCTCTAGAAATATACTTTTTTCTGATATATTTGTAAACTACTCCCCTCGTCCCATTTATATTGTCCCGTTTTACCTTTTCGGGAAGTCCCACTTAAAATGTCCCATACCATATCTGGCAAAGTTTGTGTGACTGTAAATCATTCTTACTTTATTCTTACTTTATCAATTAATATCAACCACACAAACCCACTTTTTTTAATAACCGTGCCACCCTCTTCCGTCCCAATATAAATGGGACGGAGGTAGTAAAAATGAGTTGATGCGTAACATTTCATGAAATTCGAAGACATTGTAGACCGTTAATATAAAAGAAATTTCCCGAAATAGGAGTAACAACGATTTGGAATATCAAAATAGGAGCACTATGTTTATATTCCCTAATTAGGAGTAATTACTGCCAATTATGGCACTATATGCCATATTTAAAGCATACAACAACAACATCTAAGCCTTAGTCCCAAAAAGATTTTGGGGTCGGCTAATTTAGAGCATAGTAATCCCAAAATATTGCAGTAAAATTTCAGGATGGCAATAAGTTACTCGTATTTAAGAGAAAACACAACACTCATATTTTGGAATTTCGCGTGGTTTTTACTCATATTTCGGGAATTCTTATTGCAATGGGTTGACTTTATTCAGTTTTGCCTTTGATTTTTTTGCTGCCATGATTACACCCATCAAGAATCAAAAGAGGGAATCAGGGGAAAAGAACAGTGAAATAATCACTCATTTACTTCGCTATAGTTAAGTAAATGAGAAATGTTAGTGTTTGTTTCACCATTTTTATTTGTTCTAGGGAATTGAGAAATTTAAGAAGGCTGTTCAACAAGTTCAAGGGAATCTGTTTAGTGGTCAGGCAAGTATTTAAATTCTACCTGAATGACTAATGCTTTTTCTGCCCTATGGGCAAGTTACTATTTGTGTTTCTCATTCATCTTATTGTGATCCAATGTTGTACAGGATGCATTTGTCTTGTGGGACACATATGGCTTCCCCTTAGATCTTACTCAGGTGCTCGATCAATGGATTCATTTTTTTTCCAAATGCCACTTGGAAAATTAAATATATGATTCCCCCCCCTGATGATCTAATTTCCAATTTCAGTTGATGGCAGAAGAAAGAGGCCTGGTAGTTGACATCAAAGGCTTTGAAGTTGCTATGAGTGCTGCCAGAGAACGCTCAAGAAATGCCCAGAATAAGGTTTTGTTGGATTCTTAGTTTTTCCCTTCAGATACCAAACACTTTGCTGATACATTTTTCCTTTTTTCTTTGCTTAAATCTTTTCTTTAATAGAATAACGGTGGTGGTATTGTCTTGGATGCTGATGCTACTGCAGCATTGCACAAGAAAGGGATCTCGCCAACAAATGATCTTTTCAAGTTCACATGGTTTCAGGTGCATACTTGGTTTTCTATGTTTTTGTTGTGTCTTATTCATTTTTTCCTTGATGGTTTTTGTCTGCCGCTTTATAACTTGATTTGGGTAACCAGCAATTATTTAGAACATGTGTTAAAAGTTTTCATATTATTGAAGTGTAATTTTTTATTGTTTATTTCAAATAGTCACTATGGTCTTTATTTTGTCTCTTAAACTTGCGGCATCAGGATCATGAGAGTGAGATAAAAGCTATTTACACAGGAAGTGAATTCTTGGAAAGTGCGGGTACTGGTGATGATATTGCTATAATTCTTGAAAGTACGAGTTTTTATGCTGAGCAAGGTGGTCAGGTAGAAACCTCTAATGCGATATGATAATAGCATGCATTCTGCTAACAGTGTACATTTTAATCAGACATTCAGACTAGATGATTGTGACTTGAATTTGAGTTGCTAGAAATATGTGAATTAGACACTATGGTTTCATATATATCTCATATTGGACACTAAAGTTTCATAATTCATAGTTTTTGGACACTCACTTATATTGGATAAAGATCAAATTGGACACTCACTTATATTGAATTATGAAACTTTAGTGTCCAATATGAGATACATATGAAATCATAGTGTCTAATTTGGTCCATTTGTAACCTTAGTGTCCAATATGAGATTCAGATGAAACCATAATGTCCAATTTGAGCCTTATCCCTCTTTCTTATTACCTAGTTACTTTCTAAACATTACAATATTCAATTTTTAACTTCTGCATGCCCAACTATTTGAGAATTCTAATTTCACGCAACTGATATTTTTCTTTTGTGTAGATATATGATACTGGATCACTTGAAAGTTCGGCTGGCTCATTTCAAGTACACAATGTTCAAACATTTGGTGGGTTTATTCTTCACATAGGTTCATTTGGCGGAGATAATAGGAGATTCTGTGTAGGTGATAGAGTTGTTTGCAAGGTGACATTTGCTACACCCATAACCTTTGCTTATCGGCTTATCACTAGTAATAACCTGTGCACTTTAACAATATTTTCTTTACTGCAATCATGGTCCAGGTTGATTATGATAGACGTGCACTCATTGCGCCAAACCATACTTGTACTCACATGTTAAATTTTGCTTTGAGGGTAATGACTAATGACTCCTAATAGATGTAATGAATTCTTTGATGCCATTCAATAACTAAGGTGCACAGTGATTGAGTTCAGAAATTTTACAATTGATGCAGGAAGTTCTCGGAGATCACGTTGACCAAAAGGGTTCCATTGTTCTTCCTGAAAAATTAAGATATGATTTTTCTCATGGTAAGTTGCTTTTCATGATTAGAGGCTTACATCTTTTATCCTGCAACAAGACTAAGACTAATACTTTCCTGTTTGAACAGGGAAGCCTGTGAAATCTGAAGAACTGCAGAAAATTGAATCTATTGTCAATGAACAAATTAAGGCTGAGCTGAATGTGTTCTCACAGGAGGCAACTTTGACTGATGCAAAGCGTATAAAAGGTCTTCGGGCTGTCTTTGGGGAAGTAAGCTTCAATATCAATAACTTAGTAATGTTCGCCTGTGAAAATTGGTAGAAAGTATGCTTTGCTAGTCTTTATAAGTAGTGTCTTCATTGCTTTGCTCCAGTTTTTTCACTTGCCTGCTCTCTGGAAACAGGTTTATCCAGATCCTGTTAGGATTGTTGCCATTGGTCGAGATGTGGAAGATCTACTTGCTAATCCAGAAAATGAAGAGTGGCTGTCAATATCAGCTGAGCTTTGTGGTGGTAATATTTCTTTAATAACATACTTTTCGGACCTCATCCCCTTTAATGAACATTGGATTTCCAGCGAAAAACAAATCTTTATGGATTCACAGGAACACATATTTCAAATACACGTGAGGCCAAGGCATTTGCTCTTATTTCTGAGGAGGGAATTGCAAAAGGAATTCGTAGAATTACTGCTGTGACAACAATTCGTGCTTTTGAGGCCATAGACTTGGCATCCTCTCTTGAAAAGAAAATCAATGAAGCATCTACTGTTGAAGATGGTTTGCTTGAAGAGGTAAGTGTCAATTTTCCTCTTTTTCACTGGAATAAAGAGAGATAGCTAGTAGCGCCAAAACTGAGAGGCTTAAATTGTACTACCGTATATTAGTATTTTTTATTTCTATTTTCTAATTGTACTTGTATGATTCAAGCAAAAGGCATAATGTTTATGCATCAGACCTGCATTTGTATTTATCACCTACACATATAAATAACGACTGGCAATTTAAAATACCTTTAACCCTAAGATCTCATTGTAAGTTTTCAGTCCCATTGGACTATGAAATAGCAAGTGTCAATTAGTTCAAGTCCAGGTTAGGATCTATTTTTGACTGGCTTCTGCAATGTAACATATCCATTGTGTGACCCATGTATTTTGAATTAAGATTGCTAACCTATTCTACAATTGCTGCTACTTTTTGTCCTTCATGATGAAGTTGTTCCTTGGCATTGAATGATGAACTTGACCACTTCCCTTCATCATTTCCCCTATTTTTTGATGCAGAAAGTGACGACACTGAATGCTTCAGTGCAGAGAGCACAAATTCCAGCTGCCAAGAAAGATGAGCTTAATTCCCAACTCTCAAAACTTCAGGTTTTACACACATATATTTTAATTAGTTTTTCAAACACACACACACACCACACGGTGTGTGTGTATCTTATTTTACTCCTCTGTCCCACTTTGCATGTCTAGTTACTACACCACATGCAAGTATTGCTTATACCAACTCCTCTTTCTTAGTCTTTTTCATTTACATTTTTTAATGATTTTGAATGCAATTTTGTTTGATTAATACTTTTGTCCCAAGAGGTGACTTGACTATTTAATTATAAGTATTTGAAAAAATGACAACAAAGATGCCTTAAATATATAAATATTGCACACTTTAACATGTGAATTTGCGGTATTGCACTGTTGCACGAGGAGACAAGATGGGATGGAGGGAGTATTTCTTGATGTGTGTTATGAATCAAAATGAATCATTGTAAAAGAAAAGAGCGCAGTTCATGAAATGTCTATGGCTTTATATGTGGTTAGAGGCGAGTTACAGAATCCAAGAAGAGGATCGAAGCAGAGAATTCGCGCAAGGCTGTTAGGGCTGCCACAGAAAAAGCAGAAATAGCAGTGTCAGATGGAAAGGCCTACTGCATATTGCGTCTCGGTGTTGGTCTGGATACTGCTGCCGTTCGCGATGCAGTTGTTAAAGTCATGGAGCAGCAGGTTTGTTAAACTTCTCCTTTTTTAGTTAGGGTACATTTGTGACACCAGAAGTGCTGTTGAATGAAAATGGGTATGGAACTATTGAGGAATGTATTCAAGGGGAAAATATGGGAAAAAAACATTGTTTTAAACTAAAAAAAAAAAATTGATGTTGTATTTAATAATCTTATCTTAATGGTTTAGATCTCCTAAAGACCGAAATCTAAGCATGTGCTAAAAAATTAAAACCATTAATCTTGTTTCATTTTCCTTGCATGTTCAGAGATAAAATCAAACATTCAAACCCAATAAAGTGATATTCCTTAGCAAATGGTAAACGGTAAAAGAAACCCAAACACCCTGAGGGTCTGTTTGTAGCTAGGAAATAGTAAAAGAAATGCAACAATGCTTGTTGTACCCACCCCTTATACCCAGCTTTGTGAAGGGCTTTTTTTCCGTCTGTGCGTGTTATTCACAGACAAAATGTGTATTATTTTGTCAGTGCAAATTTTGCACAGAAAAAAAAAAGCTTCACAAACATGAGTGGGTTTAAAAGTGGGTAAAAAATGATTATGTAAAAAAGTGGGTATAAGGGTGGGTACAAACATCACTTTTGAAACATATGACAAAATGGAGGCATGGTTGTAAAAAATGCTTCAAACACAAAAATCACTATAGTTAACCAAACTTGAGCTTTCAATAGTGTTGTTTCATCACTGACTGACCTTGCCCTGCTCTGATGATACCGAGAACAGGGGATTCCAGTTCTGATTTTCAGTACTGATGAATCAGCAAACAAGGTTTTAGTATGTGCTGGGGTACCAGAGAAAAGTGACAAGTGCAAAGAGTTGAGTGTAAAAGAGTGGCTTAATGTTGCATTGAAGCCTTTGGGTGGTAAAGGTGGAGGAGGACGAGGTGGCCTTGCACAAGGACAGGTTATATATATATATCTTGCGCCTGCCTTTCTTATTTAATGAGATGTTTACATTTGTTGTATGATGTTTTCTTCATACCTTTCCAGGCTTCAGACCTGACACATGTAGACGAGGCAATGGACGTGGCTGCATCATTTGCGTCTATGAAGTTAAGTTGATAAACAAATTTGTGTGGGGTCCCTCTTCATTCTTTTCATAAAATGACAAGGAAATGCACAATCACTTGAGGCACTTTTATTCTAATACTTTATTACACAAATATATGATGACCTATATCTTTAATTGTGCGTGGTTTATTATTCATCCTTGGTGGTCAATACCTAAACGTGATGATTTATACTATATAAAGTATAAGTCTTTTTAAAGTCACTTTGAGAAGTCTAGACAGAGCATCCACCCACTATTTACATTCTACCGATATACGCTCTCCAAGCAAAAAGCTAAAACATCAGTTGCATTGCTGCATGACTTGTGATTGCATGATATGGGGTAAGTTAAAAGCAAAAAACAAAAAACTCTAACCAAACTAGTACTTCGATTTCTAAGATCTGATGAATTTATAAAATGTGGAAAAGCTTTGCTCTATTCGTCTAAAAAGCTTTGTTTCAAGAGTTTTAGGACATCATATGGAATTAGATTCATGTAATTGCATAAATGTAAATGATTCATCATCATCATTACCTCAGTGCCGCAAAGGCTCCCATCTACAATGGGGTCGGGGGGAGTCGGATGTACGCAATCTTACCCTGTACTAAAGCACTCAGCGACTGTTTGCGGGTGACATATAGTGAAATTCGCGTCGAAAATTGCATACACTGACTACTGCTTCATAATAAAAAAGTGTAGACAGTTTAGTGAGCCATCATATTCCCAAACCAAAAAATAGTGAGTTTTTGTCTCCATTAAAAATGATGGAAACGATAAATGTAAATGATTGTACTGTCAAAATTTGTAAGTTGTCTATTAACAAAATACAACGTTAACAGCGCCAAACTTTTATGATACAGCAAAATTCAACAACTCTGCAAAAACTGCCTAACATTTGTCATGAGACATGAGTCCCATGACCACCAATTAATAACCAATTCAGTAGGTTATTTTGTTACGTGAGCTCATGCGGTATGTTGTAATTGGATATTCAACGGTTAGAGCATGTCAATCAATGGGAGTCTAGTCTAAAAAAGTGTGTCAATTGTCAAATAAATAAGAGGCCCTCTAATCTACATTTCTAATAAAAGTATGGGTGGGGGTGATTGGATATTGATATTATATATAAAAAAAGAGGTTTTTCCTACAACATTACTAATAAAACAATCATGAACAAAAATATGATTAGTAACTTTTAGTGACTATAATTGCCTACAAAGTTTACATTATAGTAACTACACTATAGTAATTTGAATATCATTATTCACTATGATCAGTTAAAGTTATCTAGTCACATTTTTTGTTCTAGAAGAAACAACCAATGCATTAAAGTCTACATCTTAAGTAGTGTATAGGTGAAATAACGATTTTCTAGAAACTAACGTGACACTTGTTATCCCCTCAAATTAAACTTCCGGATATAGTTATCATACCATTTATATCCCTATTTTTTTGTGATCACACGTTTTTTTTCGCCGGATTTGATGAGTCAGCACGTCTTGAAGACTTTTTACGCTCAAAAGTTTTCCTTCAATGTTTGGTTTCTTTATTGCCCACTCAGCAAAATCCAATCAAAGACTAGATGAAAAATAGGAACACAGTGTGTAATTTTATGAGGTGACAAGTTTTAAATAGATCACACGGTGCAGCGTTGGGGTTGCGCTTAGGTTTTCTCCACTGTTGTAGCCAATCGCAGTTTCAAAGTCTTCCCGCTGCCCTCCAGACTTGCGGTTAACTGTCTTCACAATTGATGCGAGTGACTCAGAATTGAAACCAAGGAAAATACTTACCCTCCAAAAGTAAATTTGCCTAACCGGGTAGCTAACCAAAATATGGGTTTGCTTACCAAACAGAGAGAATTTTCAGTGAGATAGAAAAGCCATTTTGCTTTGAAACAATATTTAAGAGTGGTTATCCGAATACATAGATGCTCAGAACTCTTACTTAGCCATCTTAAAGCCTTAACAGAACGACCTAACACACGCAGACACAAAATGGGATGAGTCGTAGGCTCAAAAGTAGAGGTCGGAACCATCAGTGACTTGGGAGGAGGAAAATTTATAATCTAAATGTTCTTCACTGAACTTCCGATGACTTAATGACACATGTTGCCAACTAAATGTTTCCCCCCTTTTGTTTATATGTCTGATTCTATTCCCTTTAATTGTTCCACATTCTTTTGCTAGATAGAAAATATGTTAATCTCTCTATTAATGATAATCATAGCTTGTCGTACTACGGCATATCCTTCACCCTACACTGCCTAAAAAGATCCCATTTATCGCCAGTCGCCATCATTGTTATGTTGTTACAAATGTTGATTAAAGTTGTACATGGAGGGATTCCGTTCAAGGCAGCCATAAATAGGATGTCATGTGAGGTTCAAATGCGCACCCATTCATTAATTTCTTCACTTATACTGGCTCTATTCATCAACCATGTACTCGGTATTAGACGCATTGGTGGTGAGTGCTGACCATTTGATCGAGACTGATAAAATATCTCCTAAAAATTTCCTTCCTTGGAGGCTACGGCAAAGAGGAGAAAGGATCGTGGGATATATGGGATGTTTTTACTTGGTCTGTGGCCAGAGATGGGCTCATGGGCACCATACTACCATAGTGCTCATGGTCATTGGTCACTTGCAACAATGACCTCAAATATAATCTGCGGCCCGAACCGGAACCAGACCCGGTTCAGTCCAAGCCTAGGTACAACATATCAGATCTAATTACTGAACTGTGAAAAGTTTGAGGGGTTACTTGCCATTTTCTCTTGAATATGGATGAATTAAACTGAAAATATACATCCTTCAACTTGAGGGAGAGCAACAAAGCTTCCAGCAGACCAGCGCACTGTCTTTGGAAGTTGCCCTTTAGCCCTCCGTGACAGCTAGTAATTAGATTTAGGAGCCACAAAAAGCAAGTTTGGGCACAATATATTGGACGATCAAACTATAAAAAAACACAATAGATGTATATGAACCCGGCAAAACTGCACCATAAATCACTATAACTGACCACCCTTATATGATATTCTATTAAAAGAATATTAAATAACCCCTTACCAACAACTTATAATCTACACAGTCAAAAGAATATCTAAATGAAGTGGAACCACCCTTCTGAAGAAGCACTTGAACATCAGTCAAGCTTGGAATAGTCTCTTCCCAGATTTCACCTGTCACTTAGTTTTTTCTTTTGTACTTTCTGGTATCCACGAAGACCAAAATATAGGTACAAGTGTTGATACTGCTTGTACCACAAGACCAGATGGAAAGCCCGAGAAGTCATCCCCAGTAACCATGACATATGAAGCCAAAGCGACCCCAAGATACCCACTCACTATGAGAGCAAGTGCCACAGCAGACATGAGAAATGCCATAACAGACCCTTCACACCCTGGTGGGCAAAGCTGTGCCATCAAAACACTGAAGGGCAGAATCTTGAAAAAGCACATTATCTCCAAAACTCCAGAAATCACAACAACATACAGCGAGTCTGGAACACCTATGGTCCTATACAAACCTTTGACAAACAAAACATCAGAGAACATGAAAACTGCCATACAGACTTGAATTGCAGATATTAGTCTCCTTGGCGAGACCGACTTGAGGTGGTTGTTGTAAACAATACCCCAGAGAAGCATAGCTATCTGTCCAAATACTTTGGAAAAACCTAGTATTGAAGTTTCAATTTTCAATTCTTGTGTTTGGTAGTAGAACATGGTTCCTGTGAGAGCAGGAACTGCAGCAAATGATGCAGAAAACCAAAGTATGGAGTAAGAGATCTCTGGTTTCTGCAATGCCGCAAGAAGATTCGAAAGTTGCTTTTTCATCCCTTGATTATTAGACACTGTACTTCTGGGAATATCTAGATGTGTCTCCTTGATGAAAAGTGTTACCAGAAACTGGAGAGAGAGGAGGGCCGCAAAGAGAAGGAACATTGCTTGAGTGGAGATTCTGTTTAAGCAGATTCCGACTAAAAGATTCCCAAGAACTCCTCCAAGGGAAGATGCCATCCAGACAAAAGACTGAAGCTCTCCTCCCGATGAAGGAGTCTGTTTTCCTATTTCTGCAACAAGGGCATCATTGGCAACCTCAACCACAGAAGCACCCAAGTTGCTGAGTAGCAGATATATGGTGATGGTGGAGAAGGAGATAGTAGAGTATGAGAGGAGTGCAAGAACTATCCATGACAGAGCTTGCAAAAAAGCTGCATGAAAAAAGTAAATCATGCAAATGCTCAGAAGTTCCGAAATGAACTAAAAAAGAATGACTCAACAAGTATTGTATTGGATGATTTGGATCATGGTACGCTTTAAGAAAGATTCAGTACAGTCATCAGCCAAATCAGATAATTGACAATTTGTGTATCCTAATTATGAAATGTAAAAATCAAAACATACTTGTTCTCAACAATGGTCCTATGACAATGTTTTTTGATGAAGACCTAAAAGAGTAACAGCAACCAAAGAAACCACTTTTCAATCAACTGGACTGAAGTTGATCAACCTCCACTAAGCCTACTCAGAGGGTGTTTGAGTTTTTAAAAAAAGCTAAGGAAAGAAAAAAAAATGTTGGGAAGTTAATTTCTTTAGTCTATTTTACTTCAAAAACATAGAGGTAAATAACATATTATTAAGTTTGTTATTCTTTTTAGATTCATCAATCCTTATAGAATAAAAAAAAATGAATGAAATAAGTTTAAATGGATGTCAAATATGAATTTATTGAGTTTGGACTGAACTAATGTTGTATCTCCTTCAGAACTCCTTCCTAACTTCCCCAAATTCCAAACGACACAGATAAACGGGACACATTCGAGCTAAGAAATGAACTAGTAATGAGAAAGTGGGACTTGATTAACCTCCAAATGCAATGTAAGGAATACGGTGCTGGCCATATACGTAAATGGAGTCAGAGAGGATGCCATAGAAGGGCTTGGCAACCATGGGCAGATTGGCGGAGCTTTGAAGGATCTGAAGGGTGGAGGGGTCCACACGGAGATCATCCTTGAGGAAGAAATTGACAGCCATCCATGGAAAACACCTGAAGCCCTGCACCCAGAACCCTAACCCTAACAGCACCCTCCTCATCGTCTCACTTCCAACTCCTTCCCTTCTCGTCTGATTTCTCTTGCCATTATTGCTCCTCTGACCCTCATCGCGCTCCCCTCTTTTCCTCCTCCCCTTCCCTCCTCCCCTATGGTCAGCCTCGGAGGATTCCATCCCGACGGCGTCCGATCAAATTACGGTGAAGCTGAGATCCCAGAGTAGATTGGGGAGCCTAAAGAGTGCGAAATCTGCAAGCCTGGATCCGATTTAGACCCGAGTTTGTGGGGCACAAAAGAAAGCGGTGGGACGTGTAAAGACTGAGCTTGGCTATGTCCGCTGCAACGCACCTCTTCCGACATGTCAGGATCTCTTTACACTTTATACACCGACAAAACAAACTTTGAAAACGAAGCACTTTACACGCGAAAAATGGGAGTGAAATTTTTAACATTATCGTCCGTTTTCTTTAATGCAATTATATACGAAAACAATTATAGTACTCCGTAGAGCAGCAAACTGGCAACATTAAGATTTTGTTTTCAATCGATTTTACTCGTGGATATTAGTAAAATATTAGTAAAAAATCGATTTTCAATCGATTTTACTCGTGGATATTAGTAAAATTATTAAAGATTAGCAATTGATTTTAACTTGTTAGAGCATCTCCATCCGTGCTCCTCAAATATTGGTTTTTATGATTTTCTCTTGCCATGTCATTATCACATAGATAAACTAAAAGTTTACTAATCACCCCTCAACCATGATCTCTATTTGTTTAGTTTTTTATGGAGTTTTTTTGTTATTTCCAAGGAAGTATTTTAGTCATTCTTAATTAAAAGACATGGTTGCATTAAATGTGTTTATTGAAATTTGGGAATAATCTTGAATAATCTAGGATTCACTACAAAAAAACACTCGTTTAGTCACGGACCGTAGTCACGGATTTGGTCCGTGACTAGCCTAGTCACGGACTAGTCACAGACTAGTCACGAAAATTTAAAAAAAAATTAGTCACGGATTTGACCGTGACTACAGCCGTGACTACACGTAGTCACGGATTTTTGTCCGTGACTAACATCCTCCGATTGCCCGTTTGTTTTTCCGACCTGGCTTGTTTTACTCCGGCGACATAGTCACGGCCACGTCCGTGACTACAGCCGTGACTAAATTTAAAAATTAATTTTGCATCTCCCATAAATCAATCCGCAACGGTATTATGTACGGATAAAGTTAGTCACGGCCATGTCCGTGACTATGTCCGTGACTACTTTGATTAACACGTCATTTACACGTCATTACACGGATCGGACGCGTAATGGACACGGTTTTGCTTAGTGACGGACATATCCGTGACTAAGTCCGTGACTACAGTTTTTATATATGCAGGAGCAGCTCATTCATTCAAAAGAACCACACGAATTCATTCCCAGTATATACAGTATCTGTTTGAAAGATCGAAGGATGTAGTCTGTCTTCTATCATTTTCCCCATTTATGCAGTTAAGGTATGTTATTTGAATTATTATTTTTATTTAGAATTAGTTGGTTCAATTTAAATTATTAAAATTATTAAATTAGTGATGTTGTTAATTAATTAACAACATATTCAACTGTAAGCGTAGTAATGTCATAAAATTAGTTAAACTGTTAGGTTTATAAAATAATTTAATTAAAATTAGTTAGCTAAACGTAGTTTTAAACGTAGTGATCTTTATGTTAAGTGAAATTAGTTAGTTAAACGTACGTTAGTAATGTGTTAATTAAGTGTATTGTGAATTGTTATTGTAATTGTGTATTATTTATTAATTCAAATGACCTTATATACATGTTCAAATTATTGGGTTTAATTTGGTCATATTATTTAATTTAGTGAATTGGAATTGTTAATTGTGTAGTACTAATAACATTAAATGTCATTAACGTAATAATTTAGTGTAGGTTTAAATGTAGGTTTACAAAAATAATTTAATTAAAATTCGTTAGCTAAACGTAGGTTTAAACGTAGCTAATGATGTGTTAATTATGTTATATTAGTTAGCTAAACGTAGGTTTAAACATAGTGATGCATTAAAAGAGGACGGAATGAACTAGTTAAATTTAGTTAAATTTAACTAAATGAATTAGTTAAATTTAGTTAAACGTATGTTTAATTTAAATGTAGTGTTAATAAATTACTTAAATTTTTTGTAATATTAGTTAAATTTAAGTATTAGGTAATTACTTATATTTTGTTAATTATTGTTGTGAATTGTGTGCATTTCATTTAATTTAGTGAAAATTAGTTAGTTGATTATTTAGTGAAATAACTCACTTAAAATTTGTTAGTATTATTGTTAGTATTTGAACGTGTATACTTTTTTATTATAATATTCAGGCATAATGTATAAACAAAATAGAAGTTGGATGTATGATAAAGATGCGGTATTGTACGGAATGCAATCAAATTTTCTCGAGGGAGTTGGGGAATTTATTGAATTTGCACTTGAACATCCGGCTTATATGAGTGGTGATAAAATAAGATGTCCATGTTCAAAGTGTAAAAATCTCAAATTTAAAGACCCACACGAAGTTGGGTATGATTTGTACGCGGTCGGTTTTGTTCCCAATTATTATAATTGGACTTCTCACGGCGAACCTTTGGATCCATCTATTATACCACAAACGGTAGGTTCGTCTCGTTACGTCCCTCCAGAGATGAGTGCGTGGGGAGACCGTGCTGAAATGAGGTGGGACCAACAAATGGTATATGACGCATACGGTGTACCGATGTCTCAGTTCAACCCCCCACAACCACCTAACGACCCCCCTGAAGCCTCAACCTCGTATCAACCAGATGCGGATGAAAATCCGACATTTTATCAACCTTATGTGGATGAAGGTTTGGCTGAGAGATTTCAGGATGTTCTAAAAGCTGCCGACCAACCTCTGTATGCTGATTGTGAGGGATACTCTCAGCTATCCGCCGTTACTGAATTCATGAACATAAAAGCCGAATACAGTCTCCCTGAAACTTGCATGAATAGAGTCTTGCAGTCAGTAGGAGGGATGCTACCGCGAGATCATACCCTTCCGGATTCATATTACCACATGAAGCAGTTAATGTCTAAGTTGGGGCTACCTTGTGTTGAAATTGATGCGTGCCCGGAAGGATGTATGTTGTTCTGGAAGGAGGATGAGGCACTTGAGTTCTGCAAGTTCTGTGGTGGAGACAGATACAAACCTGTTCGTCAAGGTAAAAAGAAACCACGACATAGGTCTGCACTGTCTAAACTGTATTACCTCCCAATAGCCCCTCGACTGCAGAGGATGTACGCTTCGACTGCTACTGCGAAACACATGACATGGCATGTTGAGCACGAAACCAACGAGGGTATGATGGCTCACCCTTCGGACTGTGAAGCCTGGAGACACTTTGACCGCTGTCATCCTCAGTTTGCTATGGAGCCACGAAATGTGCGGCTGGGATTGTGCTCAGATGGATTTGCTCCTTTTGGCAGGTTTGGCAAGAACTATTCATGTTGGCCGGTCATGCTAACTCCTTACAATCTCCCTCCCGACATGTGCATGAAAAGTCATTTCATATTTTTGTCTTTAATTTGTCCGGGTTCCAAGGATCCTGGGCGAAAGATAGACATTTATCTCCAACCCCTTATCGAGGAGATGAAAGAACTGTGGGCCGTTGGGACACCAACTTATGATGTTTCATCAGATAAAATGTTTATCATGAAAGCTGCCATCATTTGGACCATTAGCGACTTCCCTGCCTATGGCATGCTTTCGGGATGGAGCACACACGGTTTGATGGGATGTCCGATATGTATGGAGAAATCAGGTGCCAACTGGCTTAGTTACAGCAAAAAAGGAAGTTACTTTGATTGTCACCGCAAGTTTCTCCCGGAAAGGCACCGATATCGAAAGGACAAGAAGTCTTTCATTAGAGGCAGAGCGGTACGAGAGAGCCCACCCCCGAGATTGACCGGTGAAGAAATTTATAACCGGGTTCGACGTTTTCCTACGGCTATGGAAGAGCCAAACCAAGAGCCATATGGGTATTGTGATACCCATAAGTGGACAAAGAGGAGCATATTCTGGGAGTTGCCTTATTGGAAAGACCTTCTCATCCGTCACAATTTAGATGTCATGCACACTGAGAAGAACGTCTTTGACAATATTTTTAACACGGTGATGGATTTGAAAGGCAAAACTAAAGACGGTCTTGCAGCTAGGAAAGATATGACTATTTGGTGTGATAGACCCGAACTTTCTGTTGATCTAGAATATCAGGGCAAGGAAGTTCCAAAAGCAGTCTACCAGGTCACAGAACCACAAAAGGCAGCAATATTACAATGGCTTGCGTCTCAGAAGTTTCCAGATGGCTACTGCTCCAACTTGTCTAGATGCGTAGACATGAACAAACTTACCACGACGACGAGCATGAAAACTCACGATGCTCATGTAATAATGCAAAGACTTCTACCAATTGCACTAAAAGAGATGCTTCCTGAACACGTATGGTCCTGCATTACTGAAATCAGTTTGTTGTTTCAATCGATATGTTCCAGCGTTTTGGATGCGGCATCCCTCCGGAGACTACAAGATTCTGTTCCCATTCTGATGTGTAATCTAGAAAAAATAATGTCTCCATCGTTTTTCGATACAATGGAACATCTTATAATACATCTTCCGTATGAGGCTTTGACTGCTGGGCCCGTCTTCTATCGCTGGATGTACAGATTTGAAAGGTTAGTAACAATTTCATTTAAAAAAAGAATATTTATTTCACAATAACTGTTAACATGTGTACCGTTGTTATATTGCATTATTGCAGATTTCTAGGAGAGCTGAAAAAGAAAGTGACCAACAAGGCACACGTTGAGGCGTCAATTTGTCAAGCGTATCTTCAACAAGAAATCTCAACGTTCTCGTCTTTTTACTTCGAGCGTGACGTCATCACCAGAAGGAAAAGACCTGCCCAGAACGATGACATTGGCGAGGATTTATATGAAAATGTAGTTTCCATCTTCAATTACCCAGGCAGAGGTAAAGGTGCTGCGACACAACGATACATCGTGGGTGGGGAATTGCAAATTGCACATACTTATATCCTCATGAATTGTCCAGAAATCTCACCGTTTTATCAGTAAGTTAAATTTGTAGTTATAATTGTAATACTTATCAATTAAATTTGTAGTTAATTTATAATTTTTTTTATTTTTGAATTCACAGTGAATTCAGAGCTTCTTTATCAGCCTTTCCTGAGAATCAAATTGATGCATTGGTAGACTCTGATTTTGTAAATTGGTACAAGTATCAGGTATATATATACACACACATTAATTATATATATATATTATTAAGTAAGATTTTTCAATATTTACCTAATGTTATTATCATGTTTATATTTACAGATCAATAGTCGTGGGATTGTCGACCCTTTGTTAGTATCATTAGCGTGGGGCCCTAGTGCCAGTGCCAAAGTGTGGCGGCAATATGTGATAAACGGTTACACATATCACACATCCGATTACGGAGAGGGCCGACCAACAACGAACAGCGGGTTATGTGTCCCGACCATCGGTTATGATAACTCGGAAACCAATTTTTTTGGTGTCCTGCAGGAGATTCTGGAACTTGAGATGCCTTCTGGTGCGAAAAAATTGACATGCGTTCTGTTCCGTTGTACATGGGTCGACCCCACACGTGGCGTGCGCAAAAATCCGAAGTATAATATGATTGACGTCAACCAGTCTCGTGTGTACCCGAAAAATGAGCCTTTCATACTCGCCCAACAAACAGCGCAGATTTATTATGCAGAATATCCTTCAACAAGGCGGACACAGAATCCTTGGGTGTGTGCATGTCCTGTCCGTCCGAACAAAATAAAATCACAAACTCAACACAAGGACGTTGATCTAGATGCTTTTCAGCAACAATTTTTCCAACCTCCGCCTATTGTTGAGACGGTCAACTATGACATCCAATTAAGTGATCCAAATGGCGGACGTGTTGAAGTCATGCCAGAAACGCACCTTCCGGACCCAACCATTCCATCTGAGCGCGAAATTGAGGATATGTATGTAGCACAACAAAACGCTCAATATCAGGAAGAAGGTGAATGGATAGACGGTTCAGATACAGAAGAAGATACTGTATATGTAGAAAATGACGATTTTGATAGCGAATAATTGTGCTGTTGTATTTTCAATTTTATTGACTTCTAATATTTGTGCAGATTTCTTCATCATTATATTACTCCAACAATATTTGAATTTTTTTCTATCTTTATCATTATTATTTATGAACAAAAAATTACTCCATATTAATTCAACCACAACAAGTTTTTTATATCCATATTATAAATTCAAAATAAAATTTTTCACAATTCGAAGTTTGAAAATTAAAATTTACCCAATACAAAATATGAAATTACTCTATATTATATTCTTTTATTTTCAAATTCGAAAATTCAAATATTATTTTTGATTTTTCTAAATTCGAAAATTTATTTTAATAATTTTTAATAATTCGAAATTCGAAAATTAATTTTAATAATTCTAAGTCTATTCGAAAATTAACAAAATTCGAAAATTAAAAAAAAGTAATTTACTTTTACTAATATGAATATTATAATAAATTTAGATATTAATAAACAACTAACAGAGATTTATTTATCAAATTTCAAAGATAAATACAAAACACACAATGAAATTGTCACATATTATTTATCAAACAACTAACATAGATTTATTTATCACATTAACCTAACTAACATTATTCATTCCTCAATCGGAAACTTTCAAGAGGCCTAGCCCACAACTCCTGAATTTTCATTCGAGCTTCTTCGTTGATCGGGTCCATATACTCTGAAACTTCTTGTGCACGTTGAAGCATCCGACACAAATTTCTTGCTTTTGACTTGCCCAACGAGTCGGATTCTTCATCTTTATAATCGCCAAAACTTTCAAGGGGTCTAGACATCAACTCCTTGATTCTCTCGTATGCTTCCACGGTTTTCGGCTCCATAAGCTCTGTAATCAGCTTAAGTCGTTTCATATCTCTACACATCGAATCCCAGTCAATTGGACCTCTATTAGCCATTTTTTTTACAGTTCAGTCTTAGGCCGGAGAAAGATGATTTATACTAAAAAATTTCAAGTTGTCACGGTCTTAGTCACGGATAATTCCGTGACTAACCTGTCAGTCTGGCAGTCGGAGAAGTGTCAGGGCCGCCGGTCTAGTCACGGTTTTAACCGTGACTAGAACCGTGACTAAATTCAAAATTTGAATTAATCACGGTCTTAGTCACGGATAAAACCGTGACTAAACCGGTCAAAGGCGGCTGATGCCGCGTGGCTGATTTCGTTGATTACGAAGGGTTTAGTCACGGATATATCCGTGACTAAGACCGTGACTACACCGATATATAAAATCAACACTTAGCGATTTTTTCAAACCTACGCTTCCCAAACCCTATTTTCGAGCCAAACTCTTTCTCTTCCAACTTTCCTTCCACTGCCGCCGGTCTGAGAGCAACGCCGCCGCCGTCCGCCGTCCGCCGTCCACTGCTGTTGTTCGCCGCCGGTTGCCGCCGACCACTGCCGTCGTCTACCAATCCTCTTTTTTCGCTCCTCTCTCCACATCAAGGTTATGTTTTCTTGATTAATTTTTTACTCACAAATGCGTGTTTATGTACTCAAATGCATGTTTATATGCTCCTATGCATGTTCTATTTATTGAAAATTGCATTCCTTAATGATTCATTCTACAATTACATATTTATGTGTATGTTTTTACGTTTATACATACAAATGAATGCTATTATTATGTTCGCATGACAATATTAATTTTGTAATATTGTAATATTAATTTCGCATAACAATATTAATTTGCATGCTCGATATTAATCTCTCCATAATTCTTAGTTTTGTTTTAGTTTCGAATTACAATATTAATTTGCATGCTCAAAGTTGACAAAATATATTTTTCCTTTTTTGTTTGATGTCTAATACGCATGCTTTAGATATAGTTTGATTCAATTTGATTTTTTTTGTATAAGTTTAATATGCATGGCTAAATATGATTTAATTTTAGGTTAAACAATATGCATGTTTTTTCAAACTTTTTTTTCCGGACTTATGCATGAATTATTTAGACATTGTTAGGATTATTATTATTTTATCATCAATCAAATTTATTATTTCCAAATTATTTAAAAAATACCCCTCATGTCAAAGTTCCAAAAAAGTTTAACATGTTAATTATAAAATATTAATTTAGACATTAAAAACTATTTTCCGAAATAAAATATAAAATATATATTATAAAAAACAGTTTAATAATATACTGTTTTTTATTAAACAGTTTAATAAAAAACAGTTTGACAAAAAAACAGTTTAAAAAAAAAACAGTTTGATAAAAAACAATTTAATAAAAAACAGTTTAAAAAACAGTATAATATTAACAGATTGCAATCAAATAAAATCAGATTTTAATAAAAAACAATAAAAACTGCTTTCCAAAATAAAATATAAAATATAGATTATAAAAACAGTTTAATAGATAACTTATTTTTAAACCGTTTAATAAAAACTTTTTTATTAAAAAGTGAAATATTAATCATTTTTAAAGTTTAAAACAATCTGTTTTTCATTTTTTATGAAAAACAGATTTTTTATTCAACAATTTTTATTAAAAAGTGAAGTAATTAAAAAACAGATTTTAATAAAACTGTTTATATAAAACTGTTTTTATAAAACTTTTTTTATATAAAACTGTTTTTGTATAATTTTTTTTTTATATAAACTGTTTTTTTATAAAACTTTTTTTAAATAAAATAGTTTTATATAAAAACAGTTTTGTATAAAAACGGTTTTGTATATAAACGGTTTTATAAAACATAGTATGAAAAGTTAAAAAATAGTACGAAAATGCAAAAAAATATATTTTTTAACATGTACGAAAATAAACTTATGTTCCCTCATGTAAACTTGCCTAAAAGTTTAACATGTTACATTTAAGAACAATTTATAAAATTACCACCTCTCATATTAAACTTACACACAGTTTAATATGTTTTACATATTTTCAATTGATAAAACTTGTATAAAAATTTGATCTTCTATTATGATCATACTAACATTCAAAAATATCCCCTCATGTTAAACTTCCAAAAAAGTTTAACATGTTAATTATAAAATATTAATTAAGACAGTAAAAACTGTTTTTCGAAATAAAATATAAAATATAGATTATTAAAAACACATTAATAATATACTGTTTTTTTATTAAACAGTTTAATGAAAAACAGTTTGATAAAAAACAGTTTAATAAAAAAAAATTTAAACTTGCCTAAAGTTTAACATGTTACATTTTATAACAATTTATAAAATTACTACCCCTCATATTAAACTTACACACAGTTTAATATGTTTTACACATTTTCAATTGATAAATGTATAAAAATTTGATCTTCTATAATGATTAGACTAACATTTAAAAATATAAATTAATATATTTTAGATGAGCAATGAACAATCAACCTCGCGTACCCGCCCAAACTATGTGCCCTTAACCGAAGCTGAGCGCAACAATGAAAATGCGCTTTGGGTGACGCCCCACATGGTTGCGAAGTAAGTAACTATGAATTTTATCTAACGTGAAATAATTTTTTCAATGTATCATAATGTAATCAAAACTTTTATAAATAAATAATATTAATTTTCTGAAGCGATCAAGAAGTGTTGGACCAAATCAAAGTCATAATTGGGGGACACTTTCTTGGAAACTGGGCAGCATACACAGAAGTAGACCCCAAGGTTCGTGAACTTTGGTGGAACCTTTTCAAGGTAAAAAAATGAATTTTCTCTGCGTAATTGTATTAACGTAACATTTGATAAAAGATAAATTAATTTATTTGTTTTTTATAAAGGGTCGGTTTCGATGGACTGAAGCCCAAGGTCCATCTATTCTTAGAGCGTATAACGCTAGGATTTGAAATTGGCTTCGTCCTACTTTTAGGCGTGCCCGAACGAGCGGGGTAAAGCCTGGATGGTGTTCGGATGAGGTGTGGGCTAACCTCGTCCGTCACTGGTCTTCTGATCCAAACTTCTTGGCAAGAAGTCAATCCGGTAAGAAAAACCGGATGTCCGAGAAAGCCTTAGAAACCCAATGGCATGGGGGCCGCAAACCTCAGAGTAGACATAAAGAAGATCTTGTAAGTATTTTTCAAAAAACTTTACACAATTACAACCCTTTATTTTAACAATTAATTATGGATCTTAAGCCTTTTTTCCAAATTGTAGTCGGGGCCTGAGAAGAAGAAGGTCTCAATTCTCAAGGTCATCAAGCACTGCTGGACAAAGCACGGCGATGAGTCCGATGCCGATCTGCCACCCCGCCTCGCTGAAATCGAAGTAAGTAACACTATTTTGTTACTTATTTCCATTCAAAATCAAATTGAGTAACATTAAATTAACAATTTTTGTACATGTAGTCAAAGTATAACACAAATGTTGAGAAGAGGCGGGCAGAATTAGGCTTGACTCAGGAGGATGAGATTGATTCTGATGTGGAGGATGATGCCATCTTTGAGGCAGTTGGGGTGTACAAGGGCCGGGTCCCGTGCATGGGGGCTGAGGGGCAACGGATCTTGTACGACCGCAGCGGTGCTTCATCTTCCCGATCAAGGCGCGGAGAGGATCCGCGTATCGCTCAAATGCAGCGGGAGATGGAGGAGCAGCAGCGGGCCTTGGCTGAGCAGCAGCGCACCTTGGAGGAGCAACGCAAAAAAGAAGAAGAAACAAGGGCCCGGCTGGAAGAGATGGAACGGATCCTCAGCGCCGGAATTCGGAATCAGCCTCAGCCTCAGCCGTATGTACTGCAGCCTGAGCAGACACCTCAAGTTCATATGGGCGGTTATTTCCGTACCAACTCTGCTACCGGGTTGCCTTCATTTGGTTCTATTCAGGATATCAATTTTCACAACCTGTTTCAAACATCTGGAGGCAGCCAAGCAGGTGGCAGTCGCGGAGGTGGCAGTCGCGGAGGAGGCAGTCGCGGTGGCAATCGAGAAGGCCAAGCTGGAGACAACCGAGAAGATGAGACCGAAGAAGATTATCTATATGATGATTCTAGATATTATCATAATGGTAACCGGAGGAGCTTGTAAATGATATACATTTTTATTTGA